GATCTTCCATTTGTTGATTCACTCCCCAAGCAGCCACAATGCTTGGAGCTGAGCCAATCTGAAGCCAGGAACCAGGAGCTCTTCCGGGTCTCCCACGTGGGGCAGGGTCCCAAGGCTTTGGGCCGTTCTCTACTGCTTTCACAGGCCACAAGCAGGAAGCTGGATGGGAAGCATGGCTGCTGGGATTAGAACAGGCACCCATATGGGATCCCAACACATGCAAGGTGAGGACTTTAGCAGCTAGGCTACCGCGCTGGCCCTCGCTGACCAATTTTATCCCAAAAACGAGTTAGTAGCAGACTCTTAGAAGCTCAGGAATCTTTACTCACTGGCCAGCAGACTGTCTAGTACCACCACAAGTGGAAGAGGAGAGCAGCTCAGAAGGGCTGCTGCTACTGACTTAAATTCACATTGGCAGGAAAAACTATCCAATCAACTAAGCTAGTCACAGAGGGAACTTTCAGGAATTCTTCTCAAGATTGGGCACTGGTTCTTCCCAGGGGTGTAAGAGATTTGTTTTCTCCTGGGCTGTCAGGGGAAACTATAGCTGAATGCTAATCGGAGGATGAGAGAAAGGCCGACTACCTGCAACCCAAACTGCAAGGCACCATTAAGAGAAACATTAGCATCATTAATTATGTTAGGCTACTCAAAGGGCAAGTGTTTATACAAACTAGGAGCTATATCCTGTTTCGTGGCAAGGAGCTGAAGCAAGCAAGCAAGCCTGCCTGGTTTATAGAAGCCAGTTTTGCAGTTAGCCACATTTTTGAGTTGACAATAGGTATCTTTCTAATATCCTGGTTCTGCATATGTGTCTTTAACTGAACACTTATTTTCTGCTCACCCTGAGATTCATACGGATTTAGAGGGCCTGACAAAACCGTCGTCATTTTGAATGGTTTTCACATGAGAAAAGAAGAAAAGGCCTGTGCAGGAGGGGTAAGAGATGCAGGACAGTGGAGTGGTTTGGAAATGAACAGACCTCTTTAGCCCAGGAGTTGGGAAATTGCTCAGTCCAGGGTCGGAGCCTCAAATCCAGGCACAGCAAAGCAAGCAAAGCAAGCGTGTGGCTGATGGAAGGCCGCACAGCAGCTGCAAGTGGCAAGCTTCTCTGCCCTGCATGCTGGCCACGCCTCAAGACGAGGCCCAGCTCACAGCCATTGGCTAGGTGGAGCAGAGTCTCCCCTGGAGGCTCCTGGCATCTCCCTTCCAGGCCCTCTGCATCCTGATGGGGCTATTTTGTGCCTGGGGAACTGACGTGTGTAAGTGCTATTTTTTGCCACACTACCAGGCACCTGGGGACAAGTGCTAGCCAAAGGAAGCTTTAGTGTACAGTTGCAAGTGACTTAGCACAAGCACAAGCTTTGAAGCATCCGGACAGCTAAGCTGTCCTCCCACGCCCTGTCTTTCTGTGGGTTCCAGTTGACCCTGCCCTCTCTCACCTTGCTTCCATGCATGGCTATGCAGCTTTGCTCTGGCACTCTATCTTCTCTGGGTTTCTACTTGTGGGTCAGGATGTGAGTCCGTTTCTCAGCTTCACAATAGCACCAAGCGCCTCGAGGGGTTCCCCGGAGCAGCCTAAGCTGCCTCTTCCAGACTGTTTCTTACACCAGTTGATATTCGCTAGTGGTGCCTGGCCTGCTGCCTGCTTCATTCTCCAGCCACTCTCTGCCACCGCCACAAAGTCTTTGCACAGACTGTTTCTGTTCCATTATCAGAATTGTTTCCTACCCTTGCCTGACACCTCCAATTCTTGCTTTACCCCCCTTCCTTTAGACTCGCTGACCCTTTAGCTTGCTTCTGAAATACTGCATTCTCAGGGCTCCAACCTCTAGAACATGCCCATGACGTGTTTACTCATGGAATAATTTGATAAATGTCTACCTTGCCATTGTTGTAAGGGACGGTGTCTCCTTTCCTCACTATTGAAACCAAACAAGCCCCCCCCCCTTGATGTTTAAGCAGGACCCAACCTCTTGTCTGCCCCGCTTAACCCGAAGTATCTTTGCCTGTCCTCCATCAAAAGGGAGTGAGTCTCTAACTGACTTAGGGAGTGAGCCAACTCGCCTTACCAGACCCCAGGAGTCCTTTGCTTCTCCAGTAGATAAGAACCTTAATGATTAGTGTTGTTCTGGGTGATTAGGGAAGGGAGATTCTAGCTCAAGGCAGAATATAACTACCACTTTCACATAACCCCCAGGCCAACTAGAGCCCACCTGGCCATCATAAATTCCCTAAAGAACCAGGCATCACCGACCAGTCCAAGAAAAGTCGCCAGCTCCACTGACCAACCAGGAACATGGCCACGAGGTGATCACACATTTCTCAGCCCTAATTTCAATCTGCAAGAACCTTTAACGCCAGTTCCCCTGAGAGCCCTGGAATTAAGCAATAGCTGTCTGGCTCCTTGCTCTGCACTCTGCAATAAACAACTGCTTTCATCTACCACACTGATGGCAGTGATTGGCTTTTTGCTCAGTGAGTGAGTGGACCCAGTTTGGGGATTCAACAGCAACACCTACAACTAAATCAGGGTGTTGTTCTGTAGCATTATATCCCCAAAGCTTGGTACAGAATTCAGCCAAAACGAGCTCTTCTCATCCATAAATGTGTTGATAAAGGGGGCAACTGAGTGCATTTTTCCTTGGTGGGAGGTATGGTTCTTCTCCCCCCAGACGAGAGATCTGATCTTCTCCAGGATAAACTCCTTATGTTGTATTATTACACCTGTCATACCTCAAATGCTTCCAGCAAGGCATCTAGGGAACATAAAAAAGCCTCAGCCATTCCTTGGACATAGCTAACTCCTGTTATTCCTGTGCAACCTCGGCTGGGTCATAGGGCTTGGCAGGGCTCTGCAGGAGCAATATAGCCAAACACTTGGGAGCTCTCTGGCAGGAAAAGAGGCTGAAGCAACAGGTGGTTGGGCTTTGGGATTCTTTCACCCACTGGCCTTTTCTTCCCTCACAAGGGCCTACAAAGCCTAGCTTAGCTGTGTCCTTGCCTGACTGATACTTTCAAAAGCAACGCAGACAAGTGGCAAGGGGTGGGACTTGAGGTTTATCTGGGGGCATGAATCTCCTTGACTGAGGACAGAGACTCCAAAGAAATGTGGTTTCATCTCTGCCCCCTGGAGCTAACATAAGGGAAAAGGAGAATTAGCTCCTGGGTTCATGGAAGGTTATATGATCTGCTTAAGGTCATATAGATTCCAAGACTTGAACCAGGCTTTGGCAAAAGAACCTTAGCTTTCACAGGAACCAGAGGACCTGGAGACTAGGTCAGAGGGGCAGCCATCTAGCCCAAAACCTGTGCTAGTGGATCAGGCTCTCTTGCCAAGGGTTTATTTCTCAGAAGGCATCAAAGTTTTCCTGAATTCATGGTTATTCCTGCTTTGGGATTTTTAAAAATATTCATTTTTTTTCTTGAAAAGTCAAATTTACAGAGATAAGGAGATAACACAGAGAAAGATTTTCCATTCACTGGTTCACTCCCTAAATTGCCCCAAGCAGCCAGCCAGAGCTGAGATCATCTGAAGCCAGAAGCCAGGAGCTCTTCCGGTTCTCCTATGCGGATGCAGGATCTCAAGGCTTTGGGCCATCCTCTACTGCTTTCCCAGGCCACAAGCAGGGAACTGGATGGGAGGTAGAGCAGCTGGAATTAGAACCAGAGCCCATATAGGATCCCAGTAAGTGCAAGCCAAGGTCTTTAGCCATTAGGCTACTGTGCTGGGCCCAATTGTGTGTGTGTGTGTTTTTTTTTAAAAGATGTATTTCTTTTTATTTGAAAGGCAGATTTTTACATAGGGAGAAAGAGAGACACAGAGAGGTGTCTTCCATCTGCTGGTTCACTCCCCAAATGGTTGCAATGGCCAGCTCTGAGCCAATCCAAAGCCGGGAGCTAGGAGCTGGTCAAGTCTATTCATAAGTGAGAGCACAAGGTCCTGGGCTGGGGCTGTTAAGAGGCCAGGCTGGATCTCTTGCTCAGTACTTACTGTCTCAGGGGTTGGGGTTTTTTTAAGGAAGTCCCTATGGCCCCGCCTGGACTTGGAAAATCACAGCCTCTCTAAGCAGCCCCTCCCTTTTTTCCTGTACATAACCTCCCCTCCAACACACAATTAGGTGCAGGCCTGGCAGCTTCCATCACAGTCCAGTGTCCCCTGCAGGGTTCACCTGCTGCTTGTCCCTACTTACAACTCCTGATGGCAACAGCCAGGTGACTGAGCACTCCCTCTAAGCAAGGGCTCCCTAGGGGAGCCAGGAAGTGGGGGTAGCAGCATCAACGATTCTCTTTTCCCAGATGAGGAAATGGAGACCTAAGAGGTCAGTACACAGAATCACTCATGGTCTCTTTTCAGGTAGTCGTACAAAGCTAGCGCATCTGGCTGGGGGCCTGGGCTAGGGAGGGTGTGGAGTGGTGGTGCTGCTGGGCACTAGGGTCAGGGTTGGATGAATAAAGTCAATCTGCCTTTCAGCAGACAGCCCCTAGTCCTAAAACCAAAGGGCAGCCACAACCAGGGCTCCTGCGGCTGCCACAGCCATTCGCGCTGTTGGTGCCTGTTGCACTCCATGGCCAAGGCTGCGATTCACGAACGCCAATCACTGTGCCCGGTACAAGGGTAGTCTCGCATTTCTCCATTTCCTAGCATTTACTATTTCGGAGAGCTGCTAGCTGTGTCCTGGGGTTTGCTCACTTCCTCATCTTCTCTTGGGGAAGGGCCAGAAAGCAACAACGGATCTCAGCCGCTCTGGCGCTTGCACGCCCCCTTGGCGGTTCCTCCTGTTGCATCGCGCAAGCCGAGCGCCACTTGGAAAAATTCTCCCGCTCACAAGCGAGCGCGCGAACACATTGTGCTGCGGAGAGGGGTCCGCGCGGTCCCGCGCCCGCTCCCCGGCTGCCCCGCGCCCCCGGGTAGCAGCCCAGCCCACCAGGAGCGCCCCGCCCCGCGCGGCCGCGCCCCCTCCCACCCGGGCCGTGCGCTCCCGCTCCTTGGAGGAGGGGAGGCGGGAAAACCGCGCAAGCCGCGCCCACTGCCCTGCCCCCAGCCCCGCCACTCCCCGGCTGCTCCGGACTCCTTCTGCTCCTGCCACGTCCTTCGGGGAGCATCTAGGAGGGCACCCGTCGCGCAGGTGAGCGGCTGGCAGGTGGGCAAAGTTGACCGGGTCTTGGGAGCAGGATAGCGGTGGGATGGGGTTCGATGCCCCACGCGCCAGCGATGCGGCTGGGTTTGTTTCCGTGGGTGGGTGCGGCTACCGCCAAGTCTCCGCGGGGCAGTGGAGAGCAGGCGGCTTCAGAGATGTAAACAAGGAGGGTGGGCATCGTTAGAGAAAGGGGACCTCGAAGGGAAAGGCAGACCCTGGGACCGAGTAGCCCTGGGGGCCAGGCAGTCTCTGCTTTCGCGGCTACATGGAGCCTGGAGCTTGGGTTTTCACGGGGGTAGGCGCCACTCCCACCCCTTATCCAGCAGGGAGTTTTCCTTTGTTACACGGAAGCCTGGACACTTGGCTTGGAACATGAGGATGTGAGACTGGTTACGCTAGCAGTAACCATTACAACTTGCTGGCCTGGTGCTTGGGGTCTGGGGACTGGGATGTGGCTGGACTGTGGGCAGCACGAAGGGGGACCCCCAGTGAAAAGACGCTAGGGTTCCTGTGTCAGCCCACAACACTTTTGCCCTCCGCCTTGGCGGTCCAGTCCTGTCTTCTTACTGGACTCCTGGGGTCTCATGTCTTCCAGAGCCCAGCGAAGCTGGCCCTGGCAGACCCTTTGTGCCTGCTGTGCTTCACACAAAATTGAATGAGCAACTCCGGTCTCCCCAACCCTTCTTTCCTGGCGCTGGCTCCAGGCTCTTATAAGTGGTGGCTGGTAAACAGAGCAATAGGAGAGAGTGAGAGCAGAGCATGGCCTGCAGGAAGCCCCCACCCAGCGAGGTCAGGCCCTTGCTGGCAACCTCCAGGCCTGCGGGGGGGGGGGGGGTGGAGGTGGGAGCTGTAGCTGCTGGAGGCTGCTCTCCCAGCATTGTGGCCAGGGTTTGCCACTTCTTTTGTTTCCTGGCTTCTGCGCTCTGGTTTGGAGATGAAGGAATGAGCATTCCTTCTGAGAAAGAAACGTCATGGGGCACCCGCCCCTCCTCCCCATGTTGTGTATGTGTGGATGTGTCTGTCAGTTTCCGCAACTTGGCCTTTTGCACGTGACCTGCCTGGTGGTTGCCATGGAAACTCCTCCAAGTCGGCCTCCCTCCTTTCCCTGCCCATTCCTCACCTCCCTGCCTCCTCCCTCCCCTCCCCCCATATGGTTGCCTAGATACTGGTGAGCCCTGGCTTCTCTGGATGGGAGACCCTAGAAATCTGGCTCCTGCCAAGGGCTCAGTGAGTGACCTTTACCCATCTCACCCCCTCACATACACTGTAGATGACCATCACACGTGTGTGCGTCTTGCTCTCCACACACACTGTAGATAACACCCTCATGCGTATCACCTGCAGTGCTAAGCTTACACTACCCTAGCACGGTGAGTTGGCACCTGCACACGTGCACAATGCCACATCCCTCCCCCACATCTCACACATACACACATGTGTGCGCTCACACACATGCACATGTACACACACATACACACTCTCTTCTGAGTAGGGCTGAGCTTAGGATGAAAGGGCCATTTCCTACCCCATCTGGCTCTAGGCTCCCAGGCCTACGAGAATGGGGGTAGGGAGGCTCCCAAAGCCTAAGGGAAAACCCCCGGCTGTCCCTGGGAACCCCGCCAGAGGAAGAGGAGAAAGGCCCTTGCAGAGTCCCTTTAGAGAGGGAGCAGTGGCAGAGGCCGGGCGCCACTTCTTCAGGTCCATGTCTCTGCCTACCTCCAAGGAAGACTGAGAGGCTGGGGCAGGCTGTGGGGCTGGGAGCTCCCACAAAGGCAGGAAGGACAGTGGAGGAGGCCAGAGCAGGGGAGGGGAGCAAGGAAGAGGAAGGGAGGTTAAGTGCTGGAAGTGGGGGTCCTTTGCTCCTGTCCGCAGCTGTGCTTCCCACTCAGCCCGTGTGACCGGCTGTGTCTGCAGGATGCAGGTTTGCAGAGGCCCCCAGGCTGCCCAGGCTCTTGCCAGATCTGTGCCTCGTGTGATCTTCAGAGTGCGCGTGTCCAGAGGAAGAGGCTCCCAGAGCGGCTCCTTGGACTGACCGAAGACCTCCTTCATGCTGGTGCAAAGTGAGGGCCATGGCTGGGGATGTGACCCTTAGGAGATAGGCACCGTCCTGGGTCTCAGAGTCCTAGATTTCTCAGAGCTGAAAGGGGCACTGAGGGATCATCCAGATTTATTCACTCACTCATTTATCTGAAAGAAAGAGTGACACAGAGAGAGGGGACAGAGATTTTTCTCTTTGCAGGTTCACTCCCCAAATGGCTGCAAGGGCTGTGACTGGGCCAGACTGAAGCCAGGAAGGAGCCTGGAGACTCCCTCCTCATCTTTCTCACAAGTGACAGGGGCCCAAACTTGCCTAGGTACGTTAGTGTGGGGACAGATCAGTAGAACAGCTGGACCCAGCATGATGACTCAGTTAGCTAATCCTCCCCCTGCAAGCACTGGGATCCTATATGGGTGCCGGTTCGTGTCCTGGTTGCTTCTTTTCTGATCTAGCTCCCTGCTTATGGCTTGGAAAAGCAGAAGATAGCCTAAGGCCTTGGAACCCTGCACCCATGTGGGAGACCCGGAAGAAGCTCCTGGCTCCTGGCTTCAAATTGGCTCAGCTCCAGCTGTTGAGGCCACTTGGAGAGTAAACCAGTAGACAGAAGATCTTTCTCTTTGTCTCTCCTTCTCTCTCTGTAAATTTGTCTTTCCAATAAAAATAAATAAATCTTTTTGAAAAAAGCACCCATGGCTCTAGCCAGTGCTCCTATGTGATGCTGGTGTCACAGGTAGTAGAACAGCCTCCTTGCACTACAATGTTAGTCCCAGTAGCTGACTTCTGACTCACCAGTGAGGATTTTAGAGTATACCTCACCTAGTCTGCTACTTTTGCTTGTGTGTGTGTGTGTGTGTTAACGTTGGTATTCTGGACACTGGGGTGCCCATTCCAAAGTGAGGGGTCCCCGGTGGGTGGGTGGTGGCTGAAGGGTGCATCAGGGAGAGGGGGAAGAGACAGGGTGGGTCCCTAGAAATTCCCTGTAGCTTTTGGGGACTCAACCTTCCCAGACAGGACCCCTGTCATCCATCAGAACACACATCTCCCACCCCAGGTCCTGCTTGGATGGCTGCCCTGCCCTTCCCCAGCTCCCTGCCCCATCCTTCTGTCCCAGTCCCCTGGAGGGAGCCGAGCTGTCTGGAAGGAGCACAGCCCTGCAGGGGGAAGAGGTAATTGGTGCCTTCCAGTCCCTGCATCACCCCTGATCCACTGTGCTTCCCAAGAGAGAATGCGCTCCAAGCAGATTGCTCCTCGCCAGAGTATCTATTGCTCTGGGACACAAGCTGAGCTGCGGCTGACTTCCTGGAGTACCTGACCCTGCTCTCCTGCAACTGGTCGCTTCCTCCAGGATTTCAGACCTCTGCCTCGGGGGTGAATCATGCCTGCTAGGACACAATCTCTATAGGGGTGTGGATTACACTGTCCTGTCCCCACTTCCCTCCGGGTCCCAAACTGTGCTAAGGATTCCACAACACAAGTTTGGAGCCAAGCCGCAAAGGAGGGGCGTCCAGGCTCTGGGCACTTTAAGGAAGCTCCCCTTTCACCCAGTGGGTAGAAAGTGAGGTGGGTTCCATGCAGGGCAGGGACCAGACCCAGGCTCTAGGAAGTCCTCACGGGGCGGGGAGCTTTTGGCCACCTGCAAGTCTCTGACCAGAAGAAGTGGCCGGAGACACAACACACAGGACATGTTCTGGCTGGGATGAAAGCTTGGAGCCCATTTGGCTGTATCTGTTCTGCTCTAGAAAGTGTCAAAGAGTGAGGCCTTGACCTGGAAAGGCAGGAAGCCAGCATGCAGGCCATGTAGGGAAATGTGTGTCTCAAAGGTTTATGGCGGAAAAGGAGGCCCAGAGAGAGCAGGGTGGGGACTGCAGGAATGTGGCTGCAGCAACCTCTCCCCACCGGCACGTTATTTGAGTGGAGGCGTCCAGAGGTGCCAGGGGTGGGGTGCAGAAGGGGTGGTTCTAGCTGGAGGGAAAGTCGGGCCTGGGTCTAAGACTTGCCCCTTTATTCCTGTGGGCCTCTGCTGTCCCCACCGAACCATGAGAGAATGCCTGGTTGTTTGCCAGAGGTACAACCACCTACTTCGTCCTGTACCTTTCCCACCCCACATCTCCACTTGCCACAGAAAAGATTCTGCACCTCTTGTCCCCCCAGGAGGGCCCCACACTTCCTCACAGGTGCACAGTCGCTGGCACCGCATCCCCTTCCTCACGCACACATCAGCTTCCACGCTTGATGGGCAGCAGGTGTTGGCACATCCCTGTAGCCTTCTTGCTGCACTCAGCCTCAGTCTGCCACTCAGGCCCTAGGAATGGCCTCTGAATTTCCATTCTCTCAGCCCTACCCATTGTACCTGGGAATGCTGCAGCTGAAGTGCACCTGTGTCAGCCCTCTCAGGGCTCCGGTAGACTGGCTGGACGCTCCAGGCATTGTATCATCTGGCTCTGCTGCCTCTCCGGGTACTTATCCCAAGCCTTAATGCTCTGTCCTCTGCCTGTGCTCAGGCCGTCTTGCCCCAACTGTGGAATTGGAGTTCATGACCTTGGGAGATGCACAAACTTGGGGTTATAATCTAGATTCTGGTTCTTTCTAGCTTTGTGAACTTTTCTGAGCCTCATTTCATTGATTCATGTAAGAAATAGTGATACAGAGAGACAAAAAAACAGAGAAGACTTCCATCCACTGAGTCATTCCCCCAATGCCTTCACCTGTCTGGGACTGGGTCAAAGCTGGAGCCAGGAAATAGGAACTTAATCCAGTTCTTTGGGGTAGAAAGCAGGGCCTCCGTTGGCAGGGCAGTTGGGGTCAGGAAGCCAGAGCCACATAGGTGCTTCGGTGTGGAACCTCGGCAGGTGCCCCCTCTACAAGCCTTAGTTCCTTCAGCTATGAAGTAAGAGTGTGTGGGGACTCAGTGGGGCCCAGTATGTAGGAAACATTCCACGGAGGCTGGCTG